GTAGAGAATAATGTTACATCGGTTGACGTGCACTTACCCTGAACAGCAAACAATTGACTTCACCGGAGTGCCAGGCTGCCGGCCAGGGAGAATCAAATACATTAGGATTGTCATTTCCACACTGGATTGCCAAACGGTCATGGCAAGCAGGTTTATTTTCCATTTTGCTCTCATTGCGCGAGATGGTGATCCTGGCCACGACCCTGTCTTCTCGCTTCACCTCGAACAGCGCGCCCCAGTCGCCCTCCTGCGGTTGGAATTCCACCAGCGCCTTCACGCCGTCAGCGCCCTCTGAAGTCGGCAGAAGCGTCTTGTTCGTCACGTTGACCTCCAGGCAGGCTGGCAGAGCAAAGGCTGAGAGTGAGCGAGTGGACAGGAGCTCTGGCGCGTGTGTCACAGCTGATCACGAACTCGCAACGCCCTCCTGTCGGCGGAGACTCCCACTCACCTGTGGCGACGTGAAGGGCGAGGAGGCTCAGGAGACAGCGGCGCGACATTCGGCCTGAAAGACAGCCTTGGTCGTGCCTGCGAAACTAAAGCGCACATGCGATTTAAATAAATTGCTGCGAAGGCATTACCGCTATAACGGTGAAAACCAGAATTCAGTCGGTTTTATGATGAGTGCAAGCCAACACCCGACATATTTTTTTTTCTCAAAAGATATGAATGACAGTGAACACTTTCGTAGAACAAAAAACGCATTTGATCGGTTTGACTGTCTTCGTCAGAAATTCATCTTGTATTACTGGCGAAGATTGAAATCGGTCAAACGTATCTCTTACCCTGCGCAGACTCTCATTTTCATTCATACCTTTTCTACATTTGTCGCAATGGCTGTTGTTCCACCTATGATTCATTTCTTTCCGTCCTGGCACATTAGTGTGTAATTTTGTTCAAATAACCTATTCTATCACAAGGCCCTACTGCACAAGCGCTTCCTCCTGTGTGAATTCCATGTGAATCCCCCCCCCCCCCACTATGTCAACATAGTATGACCCGGCTTTGGACTCAGCAAATGAAGGAATTGATGATGTTGAGTCATAATGGGTATGGTGATGGTGATTATGATAATGGTAATTAGAAAATGGAGAATCTGAAGTAATGATCATCTTCAATGCAATAGAAGAACAATGATGATAACTGTAATACTGATGATATCACTAATGATACTACTATACTACTAATCACACTGATGACAATAATGATAACAAAATAACAATAATGAAATTACAATGGTGAAAGTAATAATTCTTATAATAACACTTACTGTTTTAGAATAACAGTGATGACTTTAGTAGTAATAATGATAATGATCATCACGATGGTAATGAAGATGATGATGATGGCACGGTAATAACTAGAAGAAAATAGTGATGATAATGATTATGAACATAAAATTAAGGGTAATGATGATAAGGATAATAATAAAATCTATGATGATAACGGTGTTAGAAATGATAATGATAAGGGTACTGCCAATGATAAAGCTAACAATAACAGTAATGCAAATTATCATACTGATAATGGTAGTAATTATGATAATAAAAAGTAATAGTAATAATAAAAATGACGATAATAATGATGATAACAACAAAAATGATGATAATGATAAGTATAATAGCAAACATGAAAATTATATTGATAGTACTAATAACAATGATAGAAAGAAACATAAAACTAATAAAAATCAAAATAGTAAAAACGATGATAATGATAATAGCAATAATTATATCAATAATGAAAATAATAAATATGATATTCTAACGTTATAATAATGATAATGATGGTCAAAATGATGATAATACTGGTAATAATAATAATGATTATAGTAATGAAGATGATACTGATGATAATGATGATGATAATGATAACATTGATGATGATGATACTGGTAATAATAATGATGGTAATAATGATGATGATAATAATAATAACTATCACTAACGTAATAAAAATATTCACAATAAGAAAGATGATAAAGGTAATAAGAATGATAAAAACAATAATAACAACAACAACAGCAGCAACAATAATAATGATGAGGATGATGTAATGATAATGATAATGATGATAAAATAATAGTGATACTAATAATGATAATGATGATAATAGCTAATGATAATGAGAATAATGATATTAGTAGGGATAATGATACCAATAATTATAACAAAAATGATAGTTATAATACCAGTGTTAATGGTAACAACAATAATGATTATAATAATAATAATAATAAGAAGAATGAAAGTAATAATAATAATAATGATAGTAATAATAATAATGGTAATTAATAATGATAATAATAACAATAATAATGGTAGTGATAATAATGATGATGAAATAATGATAATATTAATGATATTGAAAATGATAATAAAGACAATAAAGATGATGAAAATAACAATGAAAATAATGATCAAGTTAAGGATGATAATAGATAAACAGCAACTATAATAATAATAGTTATGATGCTGATTATGTTCATGATAATATAAGTAAT